CTCAGATTTTCCTAAATAGTCGATGCAAATGAGTCAGTATAATTTTCAAGTCATCAACCGTTAGAGTATAATTCAAATTTTATTGAACAAATCTCCTAATGATAACAGATTTTTTTTTTTTTTTTTAAATAAACTCAAAATGCACTGTTCCAAATTATTATGCAGAACAGAGATCAAAACATTTTAAAGGTTGTAAAGAGAACTAAAATGGTAATTTGTTGAATTTGCAGCATCAGGAGATCATGTTTACAGAAATCAAAAGCTATTTCAATCCAAAAAAATCTTAACAGGCCAAGTTACATGTTAACATAGGACCCCTTCTTTGATATTGCCTTCACAATCTTGCATCCATTGAACTTGTGAGTTGTTGGAGAGTTTCTGCTTGAATATCTTTGCAGGATGTCAGAACAGCCTCCCAGAGCTGCTGTTTTGATGTGAACTGCCTCCCACCCTCATAGATCTTTTGCTTGAGGATTCTCCAAAGGTTCTCAATAGGGTTGAGGTCAGGGGAAGATGGGGGCCACACCATGAGTTTCTCTTCTTTTATGCCCATAGCAGCCAATGACACAGAGGTATTCTTTGCAGCATGAGATGGTGCATTGTCATGTATGAAGATAATTTTGCTACGGAAGGCACGGTTCTTCTTTTTGTACCACAGAAGAAAGTGGTCAGTCAGAAACTGAATCCCCATGATTCCAGCCCAAAACATGATCCCGCCACCTCCTTGCTGACGTCGCAGCCTTGTTGGGACATGGTGGCCATTCACCAACCATCCACTACTCCATCCATCTGGACCATCCAGGGTTGCACGGCACTCATCACTAAACAACACGGTTTGAAAATTAGTCTTCATGTATTTCTGAGCCCACTGCAACCGTTTCTGCTTGTGAGCATTGTTTAGGGGTGGCCGAATAATAGGTTTATGCACACTTGCAAAGCTCTGGAGGATCCTACACCTTGAGGTTTGTGGGACTCCAGAGGCACCAGCGGCTTCAAATACCTGTTTGCTGCTTTTCAATGGCATTTTAGCAGCTGCTCTCCAAATCCTACGAATTTGTCTGGCAGAAACCTTCCTCATTATGCCTTTATCTGCACGAACCCGTCTGTGCTCTGAATCAGACACAAATCTCTTCACAGTACGATGATCACGCTTAAGTTTTCTTGAAATATCCAATGTTTTCATACCTTGTCCAAGGTATTGCACTATTTCACGCTTTTTGGCAGCAGAGAGATCCTTTTTCTTTCCCATATTGCTTGAAACCTGTGGCCTGCTTAATAATGTGGAACATCCTTCATAAGTAGTTTTCCTTTGATTGGGCTCACCTGGCAAACTAATTATCACAGGTGTCTGAGATTGATTTAAATGATCCAAAGAGCCCTGAGACACAATACCATCCATGAGTTTAACTGAAAAACTAAAAATTAAAAGTTTATGACACTTAAATCCAATGTGCATAATAATTTGGAATGCGGCGTATTGGTAAATATTGAAAAAGGTCTATTCTCTGCTCAGGACACCATGACTCCACTGTATCTTTACATAGCTAATAGTCCTTTTTTAATTAACCTCTAAGAAAAATCTGAGGTGAAATTAGGCTTTATTCGTACAGCCTCTGCGTTATTTATCACAAACAAGCGACTGTACAGCCAACATGACTGAAGGCTTCAAGAAAATTCACACTGAATCAAAGTGTGAGTTTCAGTTCTGATTAAAAATGACTGCTGCTGATTCAAGCTGTAAAGGTGCATTCAGATGGATGTGTGGCCCTGAGGCAGCATGTTTGTTTGTTTGTCACAATGTCTGACTCCATCAATGTCACCGCGTCCTTCACTCGTTCCTCTTTCTTTACGCTGACTGTTGTTTGGAGCTCTGAGCAGTTTAATGCACATTTAGACCAAAGCGGACTGCATGTGACTTCTCGTTTTATGGGTCACTGCAGGAGACGTGAAGCATCAGCATCATGTACCGGATCCACATGGATTGTGATCTCTGATTGGCTGGATGGTGTGTTAAACTGTTTCACGCACAAATGGTTTGCCTCGAGTTTAATCACACTTGGCCTGAACTTTTTTAACCAAACTCTATAACTATGGCAACGTGCTGAAACAACTCAGAAACATTTACATCACATGAATTAAAGTGTCCGAGAGTTCTGCATTACATTCTCTCTCCCTTTCCTGTCTATCATCAGCGTTCTCCTGTCAATAAAGGCAATAAAGGCCCCAGAAAATAAAGTTTTATTTATTTGATTCACTGCTTTGTTCTAGCCAACACCAGTCCTCTCTTCATTCAGTCTTGAGCTTTCTCGACCATCGTGGCACTCTCTCTGTCTTTAAAGTGTAAGCGCCCGATCACACAGAGATGCACCGCTACAGGTATGGACACTTCAAAAACACCTTGACACCTTGAGCGTCAGGGAAAAAACAGCTGGTGTGCCTGTGGAGCGGAGCTGCATGCGCAACCGGCGATCAGATATGATGATGGAAAATACATGGATGTATCAAAATGCTTGATTTGATTAGCTGTCTGGGCCAATTGTTAAATTGATGTGCACTTAAAAGTTTTTAAAATATTTTAATGTTTGTGCAAGTCTTAAAAAAACGCCCTGAATGGTGCAAGAAAGGAGCGCACACTCTCAAGCGGGGAGCCTTGTTATAATGGAGATGCAAATCCCTGCCATCAAACTGAGGCGAGCCAAGCCAGCACATGTGAATGGAAAAGGGCTACTGGTGTGCCAGACTCCATAGTGTTTTTATTACAGCTTCAGTTTCTTCAGGTTCTAAGTGAAATTAAACTGCTCTGACTGACCTCAGTCCCTGATGAACTAGATAGAAAACCTATGAAGCGTTCAAGTCAAGACGATGTTAATTAACACCTTGGAGTCTCAAAGTTAAATTTGATCTATCTATTTGGTAAAATGTATTTGGATGTCCTAATACTGGAAGATGAGGATGTGACTAACTGTGAGCTGATTTTACTGCTGCTGCTGGTGGTGTGCATACCAGTTGTAATCCTGCAAACTGTACAGTTAATGTCTGTGTCTTATGTCATTATTTTTCCAGCGGGAAAAGTTCAGTCATTCAGTCTCAAAACAAAATGGATCAGCTGGTTTTCTGTGAATGACTTCACTGTATAAACTGTGCACACAAGGTCAGTTAACAGTAAAATGCCTGTGTCGTGTCCGAAAATTTACATAATTAATGAATGCATCCAGCGGTGTATAATGAGAATGCACAGTGGGAGTTTCTGCCATCGAGCAGGAGGAAACACAAACACAACACCCATAATGGGATGCTTCTGCCTGCGCAATCTGCATGTGTTACTGCGTTTTTTTTTTTTTTGTTTGTTTGTTTTTCCCTAAATTTAACTATATGCCCACTCCCTACACCCTATATCCAGATGTAAATATGTAACCACAGACAATATCCCACTGGAATAATTCTAGATAATATAGTATGGAAAAATATCGGGCACTGAACTGCAGATAAACTTAGGTAGGATGTTGGAGAGAGACAGGTAAAGTTAGAGTCTACTGCTATGCCAAGTTCTATCGAATCTTTCAAATATTTTTATGAAAACTTGTTTGCTCTCATTCAAATCAAACTGGTCGCTCCTCTGACTGACCTCCATCTTTGATTAGCTGTGCCTGATATTTCTGCTGGCAGGGGAGTAATTTATGCCGTTAACATGGCAACTGGGAGACGGGATAAAGAGATCTGAGACACGACAGAGAGAGGGAGCTCAGGGCTCGGTAATTTGAAACAGTGATGTACGGTAGATATTATTCTTTCAAAAGGAATTAAGGTGATTGGTGATTAGCGAGGTCTAGCGACGTGATGGTTTTTCACCACGTGGAATAATAATGTAATCGATATGAAGGACTTTTTAATCTCTACTTATACTTTCATGTCTCTTCAGCAAATGCCCTAAAGCAATGATTAGTCTTTCATGGCAGCAAGTTTAAAACAGCAGCTGAATATTTTTTCTCCTCTGAAAGATTCAAAATTGTAAAATCAACTGGCTGGATCTCACTGCACTAAACTGCTGTAAACGCCTGAATATGCTCCAGCCTCTGGCGTATATAATTATATAAGTAATAATTAATACATCAATGTTTTGGACACTTCATACACAACATCTCCACAGTACTGTAAAGATTTCTATGTAGTTGATCTCAGTCCTGCTCCTGAGAATGAAACCTGTGGATCTCAGTGACCAGTACTCCGACGCCACCATTGCAACAAATGTGCATTTACATTTTTAGCTCCTTCTGGTAAGGCTCTAAGAATAAAGAATAAAATCTGTGTTTTTTCATATAGTGATGTTCTTTTGCCCCTGAACTGAGTCATTTCATATTGAGTAACTGCCGATAACAAGTAATTTTCCTCATTTTAAAGTTAAAATTAAAGATGCTGGAAGTGAACTTTGGGGTACTCCTGGCAACAGACGTGCCACACATCACTTCATCATAGTTAATAATTATGCATTTCAGTGAGGACTTCAGAGACTCCAGTCTGCAAATCTGTTTAATTGATAAACTACAGAAGTGTAGAGTAATATTAAGCTTCCTTAGCCCACAGCTGGTGCCTGTTCTCGGCTGTTCACCCCAGGGGTTCAGTGGAGTACCAGGGGTTTAAGGCAAGCGTAAATAATGTGGATCTGTCTGTGCGTCACTGTTGACAGACACACAGTCTGCAAATCCACACATTTCACTGATGAACAACAGAAGTGCTGCGTGGTGAGCCCACGGCCAGTGGCTGCAGCTGGCTGTGGACCCCTGTCCACACACACACACGGGAGGACAGCTGAGAACAGGCACTGCTGTGGGCAAGGGCCTCTCCTTCCCTAGGTAGTGAAGGAGATGAGGTTGATGACATAGGACCAGAACTAATACCAGGATGTCCAGTCTGAGTAATGGGTTTGAAGGTTTATCAGACGCTGTACAGTGGTTCATAATTCATAGTCACATTTGCATGTAATTTCCTGTTTTGTCTTCCAGGCGGCGATGGTGCCCAAGGCCTCGTACCCCTTTCCCACCGTGGATGTGCCCGTCCACGCCCACTACACCATCGGCTCCGTCATCCTTGCCATTGGCATCACCGGCATGATCGGGAACTTCCTGGTCTTATACGCCTTTTGCAAGTAGGATAACTTCCTGTGCCCAAGTATAGTTGTGCTCTGTCTCTGATCCTTATTCTGCGTTCAGGCAACCCGGTCTCACCCCCATTTCGTCAAATATTGCTGCTTGGTCCTTCAAAATATGACGCCGTAGGTACATCCTGTTATCATTTCTGGACGCACCTGCCATCAAAGTCAGGTGATGTAGTATAAAGAGCGATAAAGTTACATATTTCTTATTTCTAACTTGACCGAGGTTCCCTGAGCGTGAAGTTTGGAGTTAGAACATGTTGGATAATACACAGTACTTGCCATATGGTCACATGTACACACAGATATGCTTAAGTGCTCTAACAAAGGACACGGAGATAATCCGTGTTGTAGATGATAGACTTTTATTCTGGAAGTGATGGAAAGCCAGTGAAGGGATGCTAAAGCTGTGGTGGTGTGTTTAAGAGCCGAGCAGCTGCATGTTGGACCAATTGCAGACTATTTAGTGCTGAATATAGAGAGTTAATCCATACAGGATGAAATTAAGACATGGATAATTTCTTCCAGGTCAGCAATGGTTTGATTTTAGAGATTCTTCTCACGCACATGATGTAAACTGATAATTATAAGATACAATAATGTAGAAAATGATGAGAAAGTTTCGACAGTCTTTCTCTGTAATCCCATAAAATGTTTTTGAAATGTTTGAAAGGCTGACAGGTTGACGTCAGTCTGCACAAACTGAAACAATTTGGTTTTATCCCTTCCTGTTGTTGAAGTAAAAATAATCCACAAATGGGAGAATGATCAGGTTTTGTCGTGGCTGTGTGGTGGACGGAGATTTTGTTCTTACCTGGGGAGGAAACACTGGTGTGATGTGCTGGGCTCAGAGTTGAGCTGTAAAGTGCTTTTGAGACTGAGGTTTAATCTCCTGCTGTGATAAGCAGAAGAGGAGGACCTGTGTGTGTGTCTGTCCGTCCTCCGGCTATAATGAGTCATCATGGCCGTCTGGTTTTTATCGACCCCACACTGAGTCTTTTATCTTCCGTCGCTACCCAGAAAAGTCTTTCTCTGAAACCAGAGCGACATGTCTACTCGACTCTTTTGATGAAACTTTAGCACTTAAGATGAGTTCGACCCACATATTGATTGGACCATTTATGGGGCAGATATTGATCTTTCATTAAAGTCAGACCTGCTCCATGATGGGGGTTCCATTGATTAAATGTTACATTTAGAATTGAAGCAGCACTAAAAGATTTTTCCATGTCGGCTTTTCCTCATCCTCTAAAGCAGACTCTGAAGTGTTGTAGTAGGAGTCAGGAACCCCCTGATTCCGGCTGCCACTCACCTGTAAGGAACATCAACTTCCTGCTCGTCAACCTAAAGCTGAATGTGAAAACCACTGCACTTCTCTTATTCAAAATAAGCTTTTATTGAAGAAAATATGTTGTCAAAGCCAAAAGTTGTAGAGTGCAGAACAAACTAAAGTTTGGGCCCAAATCACATGTTGAGCTCAGTTCAGACGTGACAAAACAGCTGTAGAAGGTTGTGAACTGTTATCTCAGCTCGACTCAACTCAACTCAGCTTGTCAAATCTCCTTTCAGAACTAACATAATGCCTGCCGCCTATTTCAAGTCAGCCGGTTGAAATGATTTTGGACAGGGAAAATGTACTGAAAGTTTTCATCGTTTCATCAATAAGATGGAACAGTAGCAAATAACTCACAGTCACTATCCTCATTTTATATTTTAGGACACTACAAATTATATCCAGAACATAAGTAGAGAGAGCCTTTCAGACAAAGGTTGTCAGAGTGTTGCAGACTAGCACATTGCAAGTAGTTGCAAGTTTCAACTCGTCTCGTTGTCGAATCTTTGGTCTGAACTTTGCTTTAGATCTCATTCATCCAGAATTTAAAGATAGTTTAAAGTTAGTGTTACAGTTGAGAGCTGCTGTTCCTTCCTCTTTATTGAGGAAAACCGACTGTGTGACCTGTGACTGTGAGTTTTATTTTGTTTTGTGCTGATGAAGTTTCCATGAAAAGGCTTGAATAAACCGGGTGTTCAAATCAGCAAAAACTGGAATGTCAATTTAAATTTTGATGTGTTTTTGATTTTCTTGAAAAACAATGTATAAAATATAGTTATTTTGTTGTGGGCGGGACATTTCTGGGCATCACCCAGCAGCTCAACCAGCAACTCAGACCCAGGCAGCAGGTCAGGAGTTATGGATGCACAATGAGCTGCAGGTCTGTGTGGCAGTGGCTGCATTCAAATCCAGAAATATGTAATCTTCCTGCAGGGTTGTGCAGAGGGATTAACTGCTTTGTATGAACTGATATTGTCTAGCTAGTTATATGTATGACACAACCATAAAAATTAATTCACTTTTAATCAAAAGTGAACCAGATCTTTGGGTAAAAAACTGTGTGTGTGTGTGTGTGTGTGTGTGTGTGTGTGTGTGTGTGTGTGTGTGTGTGTGTGTGTGTGTGTGTGTGTGTGTGTGTTCAGGAGTCGCAGCCTGAGGACGCCAGCCAACATGTTCATCATTAACTTGGCGATCACAGACCTGCTGATGTGTGTAACACAGACGCCAATCTTCTTTATCACCAGCATGCACACGAGGTGGATCTTCGGAGAGAAAGGTACCTGAAGGCATCACTGACAAACACTTTCAGTAAATATTTTGTCGCTTCTGTTTTCTGTTATCATCATGTGGTAGGGGAGAACAGGGTTGGTTGTCACAATTCTACTTTGATTTGAATCCTTCAAAATATTATCCTTAATATATTCCCTTTTCAAAAAAACGTAAGTAAGTGTCAGGTAGGAATGACGTAACCTTACTCTCCTTAAGCTTATTCTGTTCAAAAGCTCTTGGGACAACCATCCTACCATCCAACAACCATCATGGGGTTTGTAGTCACCAAGCAGCAACCTCCATGGCTGCAAATGAAGCCACAGAAGTGCCAAAAACTGCACTTCCTCTAACAGCCCCTCACGGCTGGCTCCAGTGAATTTCCATAAGGCCCCATATTAAAGTGTTACAGCCTGGTATAAAATCTGTTGTGGTCTGTCCGTGACAACTATACAGGGGGTCAGTTTTTCACTCACTATCACTCACTGACAACCAACCCCAAAGAGAATATGATGAGCATCACCCACTAGCGACATGTTGTTGCCTTACTAAAATATAACCCTCCCTTCGTACTGTCTAAAGACAGTAGTTGGTATTGGATAGTAAAGGAACATTTAATGGGTTAAAACATGTAAAAACATTATTGTGGTTCTTAAAAGGAATAAATGAAAGGACTTTGTAGCACTGAGTATGGAACATTTGCAGAAGAAATTAAAGTTTACTAAAGAAATATAAATTCCCTGAAAGGTAAATTGGATGTGTTATGATCCTTATGTGTTCTCTCCACCTGCAGTCTTTCAGAGCAGTTTTCATTTCCCACCATGACAGTGTTAATTACTGAGTTATAGCTCAGAGACAACAGTGTTTGCATTTGAGTCCACCCTCCTCCATCTCCCCAGAGAAACGCTCCAGGTCATTTTAATACCACAGAGAGAGTTTTTAAGTAGAGGAGATGCTGATTTACTGCTTTTTATTACTTGAATTTAAAGTGAAAAAATATTATTACTAGAGCTGGATCATTGACCGCATTTTCTTCTATAGCATTACTATATACTATCAAATAAAAATAACCACTCTTCTTCTCTCTGACTTTAGGTTGCGAGGTGTATGCGTTCTGTGGCGCTCTCTTCGGGATCTGCTCCATGATCACGCTGACAGTGATCGCTGTGGACCGTTACTTTGTCATCACACGACCTCTGACATCCATCGGCGTGTTGTCACGGAAACGGGCCCTCCTCATCCTCATGGCGGCCTGGGCCTACTCTCTGGCCTGGAGCCTGCCACCGTTCTTCGGCTGGAGTGAGGACACACCGTATTGCACACTTATTTAAGATCTAAACTTTGAAGACCTGAAAACAGGCTATATTCACAGAGCCATAAACAACCTCATCCTGCATTAGAGAAGTTAAAGCAACCAAAGACCTAATAGAAAAATGATAAGAAAACCCAGAATTTGTCCAAAAAAGAAGCCTATTACGTATGTATGGTTGTTAAAATTGCATAAAAATGTTATGAAAATATATAAAAAACATTATCTCTGTAGTATTCAAAGGAAATAATCTGCTCAAAATTCTTCCGAATCACTTTACAGAATCGTTTTACACAAACTTCCTGCATTTATTGTGTTCACTGTTACTGACACACTTACCACACATTTTCTGACATTGCATATAGAACCTTTATCAAGATGTTGTTTATTTTATTCTTAGCAAGATAACGTGACAGTTAATCATGATATTGACTTGAGGCGATATAGCCCACGCAAACCTATACTGTACAAGTCTGCTGCACTTTAATCTGCTCAGTTCTGCCTCAAAGCTTTGTGTATCTTCTATCAAATGTATTGTTCATTTACCCTCCAAATCCCATTTATTAACAGTTCAGTTCAAGTTCACTCCCTACATGTGGTGTACATTTCTTCTTCCTCTCACCTGGTTCTCATTCTCCTCAGCAGATTGTATCACACTTGTTTTTCACATTTTTATGTAAATTATAATGTATAGAAACAGAAAAGCTCCCATAAATCTAAATAATCTGGTGGGGGGGGGGGATGTAGGGAATAAAAACCCTCACAAATCTGTGAACCTTCTAAGCAGCAGTATATTGTTAATATCTGAAGTATCATCAAATTTGAGCCTGTTTCCTCTGAATAATTATATTGTCTGAACATAACGCCTCCTGAAAGTGACGGTTTACAGGGGCCAGTCAGTTTTATAGTATCGTAAAACCACATATTCACTAAGTGATCTTTAAACAACAGGTTCATTTTTACATCAAAAACAATCGTAGATGTATTACCTACACATTTCTCCTGTGTATTTTCTTAACAAATGGAAATATGTAAGTGTGCCTACTACAAATCTTACACTCTGATACAGGTACAGTGGCAGGGGATTACCAAAGCTTCACAGGGGGTCGAAAGGCCTTCTTGATTTTAAGGGGTGTAAAAAAACTTTTCAAATATACAAAGCAGGCCTATATCTCAGCATTCCATTCATTCCTTTGAAGAAAACTAAATTGTTGTTTTTAAAGTATAGATTATTATTTAAGATCTGCCGTAAACAGGATAAGCTGACTGTGAAGACCTGACACAAGACATTTAGCAGAGGTTACAACCCATTGGGGCACTGTTTCACATACTTGAGGAAACTCATGAAAAATGGTGGAGATGGAGATATATGTGTAAAATATTAGGGTCCTCCTGGCCCCCGCCTGAAAGAGCATGATGGGACATTAAAACCCTCCCTGTCTGTGTCTCTCGCCCATCAGGTGCTTATGTCCCGGAGGGCCTGATGACTTCCTGTACGTGGGACTACATGACCTTTACCCCGTCGGTGCGAGCATACACCATGCTGCTCTTCATCTTCGTCTTCTTCCTGCCACTCTTCATCATCATCTACTGCTACTTCTTCATCTTCCGCGCCATCCGCACCACCAACCAGTCAGTCTGTGTGTTTGTTCGGTGTAGTCAGGGTGGTTTTTTTCTCTTTGTGTTAGTTGCTCATTTTCACCAAAATAATAACTGAATTTTTAAAAGAAACGGTTTAGTTGAATTGTTTTATCCCTACACAACTGTAATTATAATTTACTTCCTGATTTCTCAACCAATTCTACCTATTTTTAATAGTTTCAAAGGAAAAGAGAGAGATTTTGTTTTTCGAACATTAAAAAAGGTATAAAGATGGTGTTCAGTTAGTCAGCTGACAGAAAAACATCCTTCAGCAAGATTCCTTTGGATATTTATAATTCACAGATTTTTATTTTCTAACTGACTTTTTTGACCTTTTCTCTGGCGCTACCATCAGGATAAAACTTATAAAAGATAATTCCTCGCTCTAGTAATAGACCACTAATAAAGGCCTTATATTATCTTTTCTTCTTATGATTATTTTTTGTAGTTGCTTGACCGTCCTACTGTTATTACAGACAGTGAACTAACTGCAGTCTATTTCCTTGTTTTTATTACTCTTTAGGCATGAAACACAATTTTTAAAGGTCCATTTAGGAGGATGTATTGACAGAAATGGAAAATAATATTCATAGGTATGTTGGTATGAAGTCTGCAATGTTGAACTGCCATGTTTCTACAGTAGTCCAGAATGGACAAGCCAAACACCGGCTGAAGATAAGGCCATTTTGCGTTTTACGGCCACTGTAGTTTCTCCGACACACTTAGTTGCAATCTGCAACTTCATAGCTAGTCATCAGTAAATTCTAAACACTGGTCATTTAAAGCATGCATTTTTCTAGGAGTATTCCACATGTCTACTCAGGTGGACCGCATGTGTTTTTCAACTATATATTAAAAGACAATTAATAGAATTATATATTATATGTTTTTTTATGTGCACATAATCTGTAGAAAATATAGTTTTTGTTACAAAAACTTCAGGTTACATTCTAATAACAAAAAGCAGTTGTTTTATTGCCAAAAAAGTTACTTTTCAAGAAGTTGCAGTATAAAGTATAGTAACTTAATTTAGAAATATAGCCAGCAATGCATGATGCATTTAGTGAACAGATGATTAATCATAGTTTTCTCCCAACATACAATCAATACTTGAAAATTTTAACAACTGTATGACTCCTTAGTTGTTACTTGATGTTACCGCATTTTATGTACCTGCAAGGATCTCCTCAATACAACTGGCAACATATCAAAACCCATGAATACGAGAATGGCTACAAGAAAAAAGTGTTTAAATCATTCTAAAAAAGAGCCTCAGGTCAGGGTCAGCCTCTGATAAATGAATGCAAGTCTACAATGTCCTCACAGGTATAGTACTACAGGTCTGCGTGTGTGTGTGTTTTCAGGGCTGTGGGGAAGATGAACGGCAGCGTTCATGGTCACGGCAGCACTCGTGACTCAGTGAAGAACTTCCACCGGCTGCAGAATGAGTGGAAGATGGCGAAGATCGCTCTGATCGTCATCCTGCTCTATGTCATCTCCTGGTCACCGTACTCCAGTGTTGCTCTCACTGCCTTCGCTGGGTAAAACAAACCGCCACCTGTACTGCAATAAAATCATTTTCAAACCTACAGCCACCAAATTAAAATTTTTGAGACTTCAGCTGCAGTTCCTCTAATGCCCACTAGATGCTGCTCCACGAAAAACTCTTTATTGAATTGAAGTGCTGAAGTGTCCATGATCAAGACTCTGAATCCACAAACCTTCTCCTGGCTCCTCACTGTGTTGTTGCTGTGTTTCCTGCTGCAGGTATGCGGACATGTTGACTCCCTACATGAACTCTGTGCCCGCCATCATTGCCAAAGCCTCGGCTATCCACAACCCCATCATCTACGCCATCACACACCCCAAATACAGGTAACACACACACGATTAATAACAATCACATAAACAATCTTCATCCCAGCAGCTATCAGACTTTATAACGATATCATAGTCATTTTTTATACTATTGTCACTTTCTTTTGCTTGCACTACCGACTGACCTAGTCGTCACATACATATATATGCATAAATAATTTCTTACATGCACTCTAGTCCTGTTCATAGCCCTGTGAAATCAGTTCTGTAAAATATATTTTTTGTTTGGTGTAATTATTTATTTATACGATATGCCACTTCCTCCTTCTGCAACCTGTGCAATGTTATAATTTAACTTTAAATCACATCTGTATAAACATACTGTTTATAGTTTGTACATACAACCCAAATTCTATTTTTTTCTTGATATCTTGTATTTTTTTCTATTTTATTTTGTTATTTAATGTGGTTTTTTTTGTCATCTGCTGTGTTACACATCTGGAGCTGCTGTAACAAGTGAATTTCCCCAGTGTGGGATCAATAAAGTCTACCTTATCTTAATACCTACTTCTAGAGCTAAATGCTGTTCAGTTACCACTAAATCAACATTTGGACTTCAACTAAATCAGCTTCCCCTCTAAATTCATCCTGTAAATTCATTTTTAACGCTTTTAGACAGGGATAATAGATCATCTGTTTGTGTGTTAGTATCTGAGCTTGACACCTCATGACCCTCAGTTGTATGAAAGGCTCCAGCTAACCTGCCTGCTGCGTCGCCTGTTCTCATCCTGCTAACGTGACTGCAGCTCAGTGAACCGTCACACTGTTGGAGAATTGATCCAATCAGAGAAAGCACCGCCGCCTTAAGCACTCTAACAAGTGATCTGAACTAAGTGCTGCTCAATTAACCTGAATGTTAACTGGACTAGAGAGAATCAAACACACACAGGATGGTTTGATGCAGGACACCTGACCTTGATTGTTAAAAGCTGCAGGATAAAAGAAAACAGCTTACATAACTGTAGATACCTGTTTTATACAACAGCGCCATGTAACATCATGGTGAAAGAAAAGTAGAGAGCTTTTTCATGAAAATAGAGAAAAGGTAATAAAGTATGTTGACCACAGACACTCCCATGCACTCCCCTCTTTTGTCGAGTTGTAGCGTTTAGGATCTAGGGCTTATGGGAAATGGTGTTTATTAATCCACATGACAGGTTATGATCCAACCCGTTAATGCTACAAATGTCAATGTGATATTGAATTAGGGTTTCTTAGTTCTGGAACAGAAACTGGAAGTTCTGGTTTGACTGTGGGCTCTCTGTTTGGGGTCCTCTTAGTTGAGGGAATCAAAGCTTTTTTTTATGGTAAAGTCGACCCCTGAACCCACAAAGTACTGATTAATACTTAAATCCTCCCTGTCTCTGTCCAGGTTAGCATTAGCCAAGTACATCCCATGTCTCGGCATCTTGCTCTGTGTCCGTCAACGTGACCTCCGCTCCGCCAGCAGCAGCTTCATGTCGACGCGTCGCTCTACTGTGACCAGCCAGACCTCTGACATCAGCAGCCAGTTCAGGCGGCAGAGCAACGGCAAGTCCCGTCTCTCCTCTGCCTCCGACAGCGAATCGGTAAGCTCAGATCCTTTAGAGCTGTTAAATCATATTGAGGAGAGGGATACACTGTGTGTGTGTGTGTGTGTGTGTGTGTGTGTGTGTGTGTGTGTGTGTGTGTGTGTGTGTGTGTGTGTGTGTGTGTGTGTGTGTGTGTGCTCTGTGTGTAATAAAGTGTGTTTTCATCTGCAGTGTTTGACAGACACCGAGGCTGATCTGTCCAGCATGGGTTCCAGACCAGCCAGCCGCCAGGTCTCTTGTGACATCAGCAGAGACACCGCTGAGCTCCCTGACTTCAAACCCTCCTCCAGCTTTAAGTCCAAGGTGAAGAGCCATGACTCTGGCATCTTCGAAAAGGTAAACTTCTTACCTCATGAGTTTCAAGAAAGTTTTGAAGACTTGAGCTCCCACTGTCTGTCACCTCACATTGTCTTTAAGAACATGAATGGGACACCTGAAATAACTTCAAATAAAATCATCTCTCTACAGCCACTAGTCATCAAAACCAGGTTGACCAGAGGTTCAACTATAAATACTACCAGTCAGTCTGGAATAACAGCCAATCAAGATGACTGACAGGTGCTGCAGTCAGGAGCTTGACCAACTGACCCTTCCTAAGTCCCGCCCATTTTTGTTCTGTGCTCCAATAACAGTTGGGCTAGCCTCGGTCAACTTTCTTCTTTCCTGTATTTAGATATGCTATATGCTAGGCTAGTCTATGTTGAAAAGACAACCACTTTATGAATATAACTAAAAGAACAGGTCAAAGAGCCCTATGGAAAAATTTTTGCTAGGAGGCCCTCCTACCTGACCCATGAGCCATGTAAACTATTTGCAATTGCCACACAGTTGCACCTGACACCCCAGTACTCCCACTACAATCCTCCCTCCTTTAAAACAGTTTGCTCCATATGGTCTAAGAATAAGTAGCTATATACGGAATAGAGTGAGGTATAAATAAACTATATATTTATTGAATAGAAATATTATATAGAATATTAACTGAATATTAACATTAACATTGTAGAACATTTAAATGTAAAAAATAATAAAAACTAAAAAGATTTGCTCTGCTGTGTCGTAATTAGTCCAGTCCTCACAATATTATACAGTTAGCTTTGTCTATACAATGTGAACATAAGCCTACAGACTATTATTTATACTGAATACATATTATTATTATTACTTACTCAGAGATGTGGATCCATATGGCCCAGTATGCCCTGCTAATCAAGATTAAATTTAATTAAAGTTAAATCAAATTCAATATTTAATCAATATATCAATGTCAGTCCATTGCTATATCTTACATTACAGAGCCATAATTGAACCTCGACTGAGAGAGTAGATAATCATTATCTTGTTTAAAAATGAGGAGTGCCATCACAACCATATATAGTCTGGACTGGTGCCCAGACACGTAACTGCTGCTGGAAAGCACGAGTTTCGTGCAATGCGGTTATCTTTTCCGAGCTGAAGTTTATGAACACTGCTGCCTGTTGGTGTTTATCAAACCTAATCAATAGTTGTATTTCACTCTCACTTATGTCAGACACAAAGTCACAGAACAGACCTGGAAGACACAGACAGGCCAAGAGCTGCACTGTCAGCGGTTGGTGAGACAGACAGACAGACAGACAGACAGACAGACAGAGAGATGCTGCAAGGTGCACATCAACGTTACTGTTTATTTTATTTTTTCTGATAGATAGTTCCATTCTTCCTCTCACTGAAGTTGTAAACATTGACACGAGTGGGAGGCTGGGCCCTTGCCTAAAATGGTGTTTACTGGCTCTGCCAGTGTGTATCACGTGATGGACGCTATTGCTGTAATTACACAGTTTGGCTGCTATGTCAAATTGGCTTCAAAGGCCAGCACTCTTCCTGGGGGCGTGGTTTTGCTACAGAGCAAAATGCTTGCTTAGATAACTTAAGATATGACTATATATATATATATATATATAAATATATATGTAGCTTTAATCTTTTAGCTATATTCATAAAGTGGTTGTCTTTTCAACATAGATTAGCCTTGCACATAGCATATCTAAGTACAGGAAAGGAGAAGGTTGACCAAGGCTTGCTCAACTGTTATTGGAGCACAGAGCAAAAAGGGGCGGGACTTAGGAAGGTCAGTTGAAGTGGACGAGGGCAGAATGAAACATTTGAACTTGTCTCAAAGAGAAGATTTACACACTGAGGCTTTAAATTGTGTCCTGTCGACCTTCAGGCAGCATGAAAGCAGCTGGAGACGGATTAACCAGCAGATCACCACAGCAACACATTCACAGACTTTTCAGAAGACTATTTTACCCTTCATGTAGATTATTAACATTACATTCAGGTTTCAAAAGGATTGTGGGTCATTTCAGGGGTCAGTGTGTGCAGCAGCAGCTCTGAGAATAGAAGACTTTTTTTCATAACACCGGTGTTCATGTTAATCTGCCGCTCTGTGTTTTTTGTGATCTTTAATCTCCTCAATGTGCTTTTCAGCTTGAATCAGAAAATCCTTTTTCTTTTGATGTTAATCATTGACTCAAGTCTGTCACTTATTTTTTTAGAGGCGTATTAAAATTCTGCGTAATTGATTAGAAAGGAGTTTGATGACTATGCGGCCCTCTGGTTTCTTGCCTGCCTCGCTGATGCTGATAAAGTTGATTAAATATCATTTAGGAATATTAAACTCTCTCTTGGCATTTAGTGTGACAGGAAGTGCTGAAGAGGACTTCTGTAATGGTCGCCGCAGCAGGATGCTGATTAATCAGTATGGTAATTATGTGCCTTTATTCGTTTGTTTTTCTTCCAGACGTCCTACGACACTGACGTCTCCATGGCAGGAGTCAGTGAACGCAGCAGCATCCCAAATGTGAGTACAGTCCAACTGTGTGATTTATTCATTTATTCACTGGGCCCTGGAGAGGAAATGCAATTGATTTTCATATCTGTAGTTATGAAGCAACTCACCGTTGGACAACTGTTTCCCCTTCAAACAAAGAAATAAAACAAGGCACTTTATTAAAGCAATATGATGATTTTACAGCTGTGAAGACAGTTCTACTCACTCTGCTGTGTCACACTTCAGTTTATCAAAGGATATTTCTGGTTTATTACAACCCGTCTGACTGCAGACTGTTAATCACATACTGTGTAGATATTACCTCAAAGTGCACATTACCTGAAGGATGAAACGATCAAAGGAAGTTATAGCCTGTAGTTTAAAAAGGTGGTGTTTTCTAGGGTCGAGCAAGTACTACTAAAATGAGCCATTGTGTAAAATCAGGGTTCCCACTCTTTTTAACAAATGATTTTCCAGGAGTATTTCTTGACAGTACAGGACAGGACTTTCACGTTCACAAATGGTCATTTAAGCAGCAGTTTCGGGCAAATTGACTACATTATTTTGACCCCAGCCTATAAGTTGAATTTATTTTATTTTACATTAAATTAATCTTCAAGAAAATTAAAGTGTTCATTGCACATACAGTTAAAATTACTGTGCATGTATTTATCCACCACAGCAACAAGATAATTGTGATCATTAGTGGGCTGTATGCACATAGATGTGATGGAAAAAATAGTCAGTTCCACTTTGCATCTGGTGAACCCACTTTGAAGTGTCAAGAACCGCAACAACAATAAAAACGCACCCAGGTTAAGGCAATCTGAGTGAGGAGCTAAAATTAAAAATTGGTAAAAAAAAATATTGTCATTTTAATTAATTTCCAGGTGTTTCCATGACTGGAAATCTTATCTTTAAATTTCCAGCTTTTCCAAGATGCTGAGGACCCTGAAAATGTAAGGTTGGAGCATCATAGCCCATAAACTTTTGATAGCAATTCACAGTAACTGTTGCTACCACTCTAGCTGACATGTAACAATAGATTTGATTGGTCAGAGATTGCCAAGGTGGAGTGTTGAATGTTGTAAGAGAAATCGTATGGTATGTGAGCACGACATAGCAAATTTCACTCATCACTAATAAGAGTGATAAAGCAATTATAGTAAGCTTACCAACAAAGCAAAATGTTTATGAACATGCTTTAACAGGCTCTTTCAAGTAAAATAAAAAAAATGAAAGTACTGCGGCATTTGGTTGAGAAGCACCCCAGCACTGAATGTCACTGTCCATCCTCCTGTGTCCCCCTCACCCTAATTCTTGCTCACTTTATTGTTAATAAAGTGGAAAAAAGTCCAATCCTGATAAAAAAGACAACATGGACCGAAAAATACATACAATCTCCCAATGTTGATAAGATTAAAAAACAAAAAAAGAATGAAATGATGAGATAACGGCTGTTTTCCTGTTTTCCAGAGCGGTGAATTTGCAGAGGGACACGGGATCAGAGGTGCGCTCAGTCGAATCCCGAGCATCGTTGTTACCTCTGAGTCCAGCCCCTTCCTGCCCATTGGACGAAAAGGTTCCTGCACCGCCCGCCCCAAGACCTCAAACAACAGCACGCCCCGCCCTCCCAGCTGATCGCCCGCAGACCTTCGCCCAGCTCATGTCCAGTCCGATATTTAGAAGCGTAGAGTTCAAACACATGGACGCAGCTCAGAAACATACAAAACCAAAAAAATCATTACCTTTGAAATGTATAAATCTGAATAAATGATCTGCAGTGTGTGCAGAGGGGGGCGAGGCCCACAACAGAGTGAGCATAGTGGTGTCTTGTAATGTAACATTTAGTGGTTGAGAAGACAGAATTACTCTGTAAATGTCAAAGAACGGCTGTTGCCATGGATACTGTAGACTGGAACCAGAATCAGCTGATATACAAAAGTACAGTCATACATTATACTAACTTAAAAAAGTGTATTTACAATGCTGTAAATGATTGGTTATTGTTTTATTTAACCTGTAAAGCCCTATTACTGGTATTTTGGTAATATAATAAGCCCTGCACACCCACACAGGTGTTTTTTAGTAATTCTGGCTGATTAGACCTCTGTGTATAGGTAGTGTAGTACAAAGTCTCCATATAAGAACGCCTGCACTGTCCTGAGACGAGCTCTAATCACGCAAATGAAATGATAACACCTGTGTGTCTGTGTATCCCTGTGCAGGACCTTTCACTTTGAATTGTTCCTTATTGTACTGAAGCCAAACAAGCATCTGTTTTTTTTTAACCCAAAGAAGATTTTCCTGTAGGCTACCTTATTTCTTGTCCCTGATTAGATAAATGCAAATAGACATAGGGTTCAATAACATCTCTTATTGTTGTATTTTTCTCTTCAGGCTAGTTCCTCTGAGACAGGTTAAGGTGCCTGAGCCCTTTAGAAAATGTTTTGTTGTGTTTCAGATGGACATTTTCTTCAGCACTTTATGCAAATTTTCTAAAAGCCCTGTTTGTGTTATTGTCGCCTGTTGCTAATGATTTATTTATCTGTGTTTTTCCAGCCCAGTCCTCTGCAGAGTCATGCAACAGATTAAAGTTGTTTATGGTTCTCTATGAGTAAGCTGAGATACTATATAAATTCCAAATTCAAAAACCCAAGTTTCAATTGGAAAACCAAAGGCCGTCCAATTGACCGTCCGCTAACCCCCTCTCCAGAATTGAAAATATAAGAGCAAAGTGTAAGGAAGGGATGAACAAGTATTTATTTGAGCTGTAATGCATAGCATGTTAAATTATTAGCAGTAATAACCCAGTGTCACTACCAAGGCTAGGGGCATTTAGTTAGCGTTACAATAACGTTAGCGGCTCTGTCCTTTACTATTAGATTTGGTGATGTTTCCACTCCAGCAAACCCAGCCAATTCGTAATCCATGATAGTCTTATATTTAACAAAAACACTGTCTTCATCTTAAAGCCTTTTCTCTTGTGAAACATACTGGTTAAATATACGAACAACAATGCATAAATATATACTGTGTCTACCTTGTTCGTATGTGTAAGCAATCTGATTCAACATTTTTTCCGCTTCATACTTACGCTAAGGAGTAGCAAGTGCTACACTGCAATAAAAAACAATGGTGTTTATTTCCATGTCTTTTACATGGAGTTTTCCCTTGCACCTGTTAGCTTTAGCTTTAGTCTCCTTGCATTATATGGAGCCAGCCAGTGCATATGAAGATGTTTTTACATGGTTCTTGTTTCAAACATTAAAAACACCTTGTTTTGAACCAATTCATGGAGTTACCATAAATGATCTACCTAGCTATAGCTGATCAAATTTGCTCTCCTGCATTTTAAAATCAGAATCAGAATTTGTTTTATTGCCAGGTAGGTTTTTACACATACGGTCAATTTGTCTTGGTGCATTGTGCATAAAATATACAATTCACACAAAAATATACGAATCATACAAGAAAAAAAATTCAATTCAATTCAATGAATCAATGAATGTGAATTTTGGTCGTTAGTCTGCCAACTGATATCACCGTAAACTGAAAATGCAAGTGAACAAAAGTAGCAACAGTCACTAAGGGGGTTAGCCAACAGTCAAAGTCTGTTAAACAAAGAATGGAAAATGTTATAAATGTCAAAACTGAACTTTTTTGCAAACATTTACTCTAAATGGATTTGGAGATTATCTTTCAACCCATAAAACCAAATCTACAAGTATACCAAAGGATACCTGAATATTATGGAATCACAGCAGCATTGTGTTTCAACTGCGTAGAGTTCATCCAGCTGGCTGCTGACCTGTTCACTCTGTTCACTCTGCAGTGAAACAGAAAACTCTGCTTTCCAACATTAATGAACTGCTGGCTAGAGGATGACAACACTATCCATACATTTTAGATAGCAGGAGAAAAGGACAATATCTAATAAAATCGACTTTTGAAGGAAGGTAACTAGATTCAAACATAATGTTTAAAAGAACTGTGCGCTATTTTGGAAAATCATTGCCATCATTCTTTAAATATTTTTCCACTTTTGATGGAGCTAGGCTAGTAGTTCCCCTTTCCCGTCCACTAATTTGATATCAATTTTGGTTAATGCCTGGATATGATGACAATCGATAGGCTTTTCCAAAATGTCAATGTTTCGTTGAATTATTCAGATATTTCTCCTTATCTCAGTAATTCTGAGAGGTCTGTGGCCTGCAAAAGCACTTTTATTAAGAAAGCAGATATTTTAAATGTTTCTAGAGGTTTCCCTGCGTTCTGGTGTTGTTCCGTTTGTGTTTTTTCTTCTGGTTGTGATTCTTTTGCTACTTTTCTTGATTACATATTTAAAGTGTAGATTTTCCTGAAGGACGTTGTTGTGGTATGTGATTGTACTGTTGTTGGTGTTAGTAAGGGGGGTGAAAAGGGACTTCATTGTTGATGGTAACACAGAGCTTGATAAGCTGATTTGAGCTGTCAGCCTGTGTGAAGATGTAATATGTACATTCCCCAAGAGTCTGTTTGAATGTTTCTGTAAAATAACACGATTACTTATGACTCATGAAGTTTTCTGCTGGGAGAGAAACGTCAATTCAACCAACTCAAAAGACCTGAAGCTAATTTGAAGAAAACCAGATTAAACTGAAATGTTGGCTAAAACAGAAAGAAGCTCTATAAACAGACTTGTTTGTCGACTTGAACAAAGCCGTTTGAGCTGTTAAACTGAACCGTTAGCTAGCCGTTTAGCTCCAAATCACCACAGTCTTGTGGAAGAGGAATGAAGCTAAATCATTAGCTAACCTCTGTCAAAGTGTTTGGGTGAACTGACCTTTAGCTAACATTGAACCATTAGCTAAGCAGAACTGAGCTGTTCAAAGGAGTTGTGGCTAATGGCTAAATTTGAGTCGTTAGCTAGCATCAAGTTGTTGTAGGTGCAAAAATGGGCTGTTAGCGAACACATTGTTCAATAGCTAAATTAAAGCATTAGCCTACCTAATTGATAGTTAAAGTCAAAGTAAAATAAAATCATTAACAGCACCACAACATATTTATCTGTTAAACCGATCCATTAGCCTAGCAGAACTAAGCTAAATCATTAGCTAACCTTTATCAAAATGTTTTAGGAGCTAAATAAAGCTGAACAAAAGTTTTCTTGGTAAACTGACTGTTAAACTGAAACAAACTTTTTAAGCTGCTAAATGACACCATGTTATCTGTGATTAAAGGTCCAGTGTGTAGGATTTAGTGGCATAAAGCAGTGTAGATTGCAACCCCCTAGCTTCACCCTCCCCTTAAATGTTGGCCATGAAACACACCAAAAATGCAAACGGACCAATCTAGCACCACTAATTAGTCTGTTCTGTCTCTAATCTGAGACATGGCATTTCAACACGGCGGACTCTAGAAGAGGACATTTAGAAATTTTTACAGTAGATAAAAACTGCTTTAACAAACCTGCTTCAATATTTGGAGTTTATAATAGTTGTTATATTCACTCACAGGTCTTTAAGCTTTTAAACCTTCTTTCTGAGGCCTCCATAGAAACCTCTACTGTATGTCAGTGTCCCTGCTTTCCTAATTCCTCCTAGCATCCCAATGCAGAAAGTACACTATGATGCAGTAAATAACAGTTGAATATAAAGTATTGATACAGAATATAAATGCAGGTTGTTGTTATAATAGTTATTGTGTATTAAAGTTTCTGTTCTGAAAGACTGATGTTTGAAAACGGGGAAGACGATTTATTGTAGATTTGTTACTCGTTTACTGTTTCTCTTATTTATTTTTTCTAAATAAATATCTATTATTCACTGTATTCATTGTGAAACACCTATATAGGCCTAATATAGCAAAACACACATGATTTGCTGTTTTATGGGCTGTTTAATGGCGACTTGTCAATTTTAAACTTTGTTTTTTGTACAGATGATAATGAATGATGATGAATAAACAAGATGTATTGTGTTATTCAATAAGATTTAGAGGTGTTGCCAGGTGGATTTTGTTACATTTGTACAAGCTGTTTCTTCAGTTTCTGGTCTTAATGCTAAGCTAAGCTAAGCTAATGTCTAGCAGTAGCTTCATATTAACTGTACAATGTCAGTGGTATCGATCCTCTCATCGAACGGTTAACCCTACCAGAAAGCGAACACGTGTATTTCTCCAAAATGTCAAACTAGCTCACAGAAAAGGACTAAAATAACCACAGTGTTGGTTTGTAGAGGCGTTCATTGATGAGCAGTGTCTGTCAACCTCTGAGACAAACACACTGTGTTTTCTATGACTGCAAATAGGCATTTGAAACAGCAGTATAGTTTGGATAGGCCACACACTGTCAAATGGATGAAGGGTGAATAAAACATTTTATTTTAATTAGCCTACTTTAATCAGATATTGATTAGTCATTGCAGTTTCATAAATCATTCTCCATTCTGTGACTGTGCTTTAAAAGAGATACTCATTGCAGTAAGTGGATTTTGGAGCCTTTATTATGTAACATTTGCATAAAACATGATCCCATTTAACTCAACATTGTAAGTTAACAGAAAAGGTTTTACAGTGTAACCTGGGTCTATTTTAGTTGTTCACTGTCCGGCTGCTTCAGGCTGACTCCTGCCTCTTTAAATAAAAACCCTGCTAATGAAAATCCACCGTTAACACCCCCTCCATCCGTCCTCCCCCTCGACCCCCCTCCTGCTCTCTGCCCGGGCCGGGCACCGGAGCCGGATCCCCGTATCACCGCAGGCTGTCCCGGTCGGTGTGTGACGGAGCTGCAGGGAGAGAAACAGCGTCGGCAGGTATATTCACCTTCCACACTGTCTCCCACCTGTTTCAGCCTGTGTGCCTCTGCTCTCTCCCGTCTAATCCCTTCATCATCATCATCATCACCACCACCACCACCAGCAGCAACAAGTGGCACCGCCCGCCCGGCTCACCGCTCCGTCGGCCTGGGTCACACCGACAACTTTCACCCGCTGAATCCGCTGCTTTGTGTGCAGTTGTCGGGCCTGAGATGAGCTGAGCAGGTTGGAAGTCTCACACATTCTGTTTGTTTCCAGGGTGTACGCTGAGTTGCGAGCACGGAGCGGCCCTGCTGGGCGGAGCAGGGTGTGGGAAGCAGCAACAGGAGCAGGTGGGCGGTGTCAGCAGATCACCTGAGATAGGAGGTGAACACTACCGTCAGTTTACCACAGGAACACTGGCCTTTCATTCACAACTAAAACACAAAATAGACCCTGTTTTTAGTTTGTATTGATATTTAGTTTTAGTTCAGTCACCTGAAATGAAAAGATCTGTATCTTCAACATATCTCCAAATCTGGCTTTTAGGCCTACTGCTGATTTTAGCATTTATATTTGAATATATTTTCAACAATGTGTATTTTAAAGGCAGTTGTTGACTTACACAACATTATTTACCTGTTTATTGCTTTTGTGCCCCAATTAAACAGCTGAGTGGACGAGATGAGACATTTTCTAAGTTAATGTCTATGGAGGAGAGGAGAGAAGATCCAAATGTCCAAAGATATTTTTAAAGGATTTAACATATAGGTTGACTGAACAGGTTTCAACAGCAAATCAGTTATATCACTTTTTACAGTTAAAATGGACTCACTGCAGTCGGGACAGTGGTTCCAAACCTGGGGGTCGGGACCCCCACTAGGGTTCACCAAAACGTCATTGGGGGTCGCAAGGCTTCTTGATTTTAAGGTGTGCTAGGAAAGGTAGAGGTGTAAAATATTGTATCGTCATATTTTGTTGTATGATATAGTATCGATTTTACTGTGTTTAAACCCCTAACTGCTAATAGCAGTGTTGTAAACATAAGCTGAGGGCTATGGTGTTGGATGTCACAGGGACTGTGATAAATATAAATGCAGATGTTTTGGTTGCGTAAAAAACAGAAACTAGAAACTTTTTTATGCAGATTTTATGCATTTTTTAATAATGGTGTGTTCTTTTTATTATGACAGTTTTCCTAAAACAAAAAATATATACACAGTGTCAGGGACAAGAAAGCGCTGAATTTGTTAAGAAAAGAAGCCTATTAGATCTGTATGATTGTTAGACATAATAAAAAAATACATAATATAGAAAGAGAATTGTATAAATATTTATTTATTATATAACAGGAAATAATCTGCTCAAAATTCATCCAAATCTCTGCTTTTACACTAACTTCTTGCAGTTACTGAGTTCATTGTTTGGGTTCATTGTACAGTTTTGAATATAATATGAAATATCCATAAATATGTCATTAAGTCAGGGTCGTCAGTTTAATAAAGGACAGGAAAGGGGTCCCTTAAGGAAAAAGGTTGGGGACCACTGAGTTAGCATGTGTTGACTAGTGGGGCGTCCCTGGGGAAGCGCAATTACAGCATAGGGGAAAGGATGTCCTGCCTAATAAATTGACACTGACTGGTGAAGTGAATAACACTGATTATCTGGTTATCATGGCTCCTGTCAGTGGGTGGGATATATCAGGCAGCAAGTGAACATTTTGTCCTTAAAGTTGATGTTAGAAGTAGGAAAAATGCGCAGTGAGGATTTGAGTGACTTTGACAAGGGCCACATTGTGATGGACGACTGGGTCAGAGCATCTCCAAACCTGCAGCTCTTGTGGGGTGTTCCCGGTCTGCAGAGGTCAGTACCTATCAAAAGTGGTCCAAGGAAGGAAAAGAACCGGAGACAGGGTCATGGGGGGCCAAAGCTCAGTGATGCATGTGGGGAGTGAAGGCTGGCCCGTGTGGTCCGATCCAACAGACGAGCTACTGTAGCTCAAACTGCTGAAACAGTGAATGCTGGTTCTGATAGAAAGGTGTCAGAACACACTGCAGAGCAGTTTGTTGGTCTGGGGCTGCAGAACATTGTGACCACCAGGGTGCCCAGGGGCTCACAATGTTATTGCTGATGGTGTATAGTCAGACTTTGAATATACTTGTCTGCCACTTCTTACAGTATCTGCTGTCCACAGCTGCTTTATACTGAAAAGCTTCTTCTTCACTTTATGAAATCCCTGCAGCATCTGAAAACAGCAGGACTCATATATAAATCCACTGCCGTAATGCAGGCCTTTCACTGTCATTACTTTCATCAAATCAGCTGAAAACGACAGCAGGCTGCTACAGTGTAATCATTCAGACTGCTACATACATCAGACGGGTAGGTTATAGCTCCATATTCTGCTTTTTATGAAGGAGACGTCCGGTTACCAGGGTTTATCATAGCCTCTTTTCCAAATTTATTTTTAGCATAAGTAGTGTCTCATGTTCTATCATTGCAGTACAAATGATGATGTGTAACAATAATTACTAAGTGACCATTCAAGGTGAGAAACATTAGAATTACTGCTAAAATAGGGTCGGTCTGATATAACCTCTTTCACCAAATCAATGTCAGTTTTTTATTTCTATGGTTATTATAGCAACTACCTGATGTCAGCTGTCTTTGGCTGCAGATTTGTGCAGATGTGTGATTGAGTATTTATCAATCAATGTACCTGCTGATCATTATTCACCTTCAGCCAGCCTTTTTGCACGATGCCCTGCTGTACATACATGGAACAAAATGTCGCAATGGAAACACACAATCCTCCCAAACCTCCCATCTTTGCTTTTATTATTCATAGGGTTCAAAATATTAAACTGAAGCTAATGTGCATGTTTTGGGCCCCTTGTAGAACTGGGCCTGAATATAGAATGAGCATAACTACATAATATAGAACATAGGCCTAATAGTAGTAAAAGAAAAACTAACCTAAAATCTGATGGTGTATGTGCATTAAGCCACTGCTACTGATTCACATTTTCTGCTTTTCCTCTGAATGATTTGAAGGTATTTGTAATAATTTATAGGTTTGGACAAAACAAGCATTGTAAAGGTGTCGCGCTGGGTAATTGTGACATCATTTCTCAATATTTTCAGGATCAATGGAGGAAATACTAATCAGCAGATGAACACCTATGAAAATAATGTGTACAATAATCATTAGTTTTCAATATTTGAAAATGAGCTCCATCTTAACCATCTACAACAGCAAAATCCTGCTTTTACATTAATGCACCAGTAGTAATCTACTGATATCACACGCTACTTTATGTCACTGAGGACCCCTTGAAAACGAGATGTTTCATCTTAAGGGGTTATTCCCAAAAATAAAGAATTTCCAACATATAATGGTATAACAGTTTGTGTGTATCAGACTGTACATGTCGGTATTATTTACTGAACTGACCTTTAACGTAACAAGGCAGCTCAATTAAGAAGCTGATTAAAATAACAAACTATTCACAAGTGCTCTGAGGTCAGTTATGTGTTGTTAATGCTGAGAGAGAGATCCACTATCACACCACCCTCCCCTTTCATCACACACACACACACGCACACTATTTAACACCCTCCTCATATAGCTGTGAATGGTTTTGCCTCTGCTCTCTATGAAGGGCAGCGAGCACTGACTCACGTCGTGCCATCAACTTCACTCAGTTTGTTTTCTAAACTTGAATCTCCGAAATGTCGTGAACTGAAAACAATACGTACAGTCTAAATCTGCACTAGGGTCCTCTAGAGGCTGTCGTGTGCGTTACAGCCACAACATGAATAAATAACATCCTGATTTATTCTTAGTCTTCCCAGTAGTGTGTCCTCAGTGGAAAGGTCATCCGGATCTAAAGGGTTCATCCTCCGAGGGACAGGAATTAAATCAAGGAACTACTGACCGACCAACCAAATTGTGACATCACCCATTGTTTTGTACTGTTTTGAAGCCTTGAGTTCAGAACTACAGCCGCTGCCATTTTGTCTACTTGCAGCCAGCAGCAGTGACATACTGCGAGTAGAGCTGCTCTGCTCTTATTGGTTTCGCTTAGTTTCAACTCGTCTGTAGCAGGAAACAATGGTGGCTTCCCTGGTCACATTACTGATCATTCCAGGTACACTGAATAGGTTTCTGATAAGATTTTAGGTGAGCAATAGTCAACGCAGTAACAGAATCTGGATCCATATCTGATCAGCACTTTCTAGTTTGACAGTTTGATCTGAGTTTGGTGTGTTGAGCTGGACGGACTCAGAGTAGACTCTGAGAATGAGCTGTCAATCACAAGGTAGCCGCGCCCTAAAGCATACCCTGCTTTATGGTCTATTTTACTCTAAATGGGACCATCAGTTACTAAATGAACATCATGCTGTATGGAAGAAGACTGAAACTAGAGATTGGGAAGCTCAGAAGCTGCATCCATTAATTGTATATTATCAGTGGTTCCAGGCCTAAGCAGCCTTTTTAGCTGGATGAACGTGTAATGTTGAATGGTGTGATTCTCTTATGGTTCAATATTAAGTAGTATTTAGTATTACGAGTCTACCTCTCTAAAATCAATTACATGACTGCAGTAGGTCAGTTTGCAGATACATCTGGAGTTATAAAATTCCTGCTTACACCTGGAGGAGAGTTTTTTTTTGCCGAATACATAGATACTTTATTTCAAGCATATCAGGTTAGAAATGATAAAATTAAGTCAGAATTTAAATAACTGAGTAATATTCTAAATAAAAAATGGCATCAGTCCCTTGTCGATATGACCATTTTGTCTTATCAAAGGGTCCCTGTGGGGTCATTCCACTGAATGACAGCTTTTGACGGCGGTGCGTCACAAAAAGTAACAATGCACCAACAGTGTGTGAGGTGAAGCTGTTAGCTAGCAAACAGTAAGTTATGCACAAATATTTAATTGTATTCAACACATTTGTTAAACCTCAAGCTGTACAGTGTTTTTAAAATATTAGTACTGCTCTATTTGAAAAGGGTCCTAATATAACATTATTTATGAATTGGTGCTATACAAATGAAACTAAATTGAATTAAATTGAATGGAAACATGACTTTAAGTAGCAACATTTTGACTTGGTCCATTGCACCCTGGGAAGACTCTTTTCCACGGTGTCTCCATCAGATTTCACGCTGTGACAAAGTCGTCTAAACTTAGCTGGTGATATAACGGCCTGAGCAGATCAGGCTGATCCCAGAGCAGCCTGTCAGTCTCTCAGAGTACCCTTTGCCTGCCTCACTGCTGCTCAACAGAAACATGTTACACATGCTGTGAATATTAAATGCTTTTAAATGTCAACATCATCATTTAATCATCATTATTAAGGATGACATTTTGGCAGAGGAGTGAGAGGACGCACAATATTCAAACGGAATCTGTGACCAGTGTTGGTGCAGGTTTAGTCTCAGTTGAGTTTGAATGTGTGAGCACTTGTAAACAATTGTACTTTGATGGTCAGTATGGTATGGTTTATGGTTTTCCACTGGCACTGGTCTGCTGTGTGCATGTGCTCTTCTGGGGGCCCCTGCAGACTTGAGTGGTGCGACCCTAAACCCGTTAGCAGTCGGCCCTCTGCTCCCTGTGGTAGGATCTGTGATAAACTCTAGTAAAATAGTTAAATGAGTTGATGATGTTTTTGGTGGTGAAAGTATAGATCTTTTTTATTAATTTAAAACGACATACTCGCCTTGGGTCTTTTTTTTTTTTTTTTTTTTTTTTTTTTTTTTTTTTTTTTTTTTTTTTTTCTTTTTTTTTTTTTTTTTTTTTTTTTTTTTTTTTTTTTTTTTTTTTTTTTTTTTTTTTTTTTTGTTTGTTTTTTTTTTTTTTTTTTTTTTTTTTTTTTTTTTTTTTGTGTTTTTTTTTTTTTTTTTTTTTTTTTTCCCCCAACCAAAAACCCCAAAAAAGGGGTGGGTTTTTTTTTAGATTAGGTAAAAAAGCCATTTTTCCTTTTTTTAGGGGGGGGGAAAAAAAAATTTTTTTTTTTTTTTTTTTTTTTTATAAAAAAATTATTTTTTTTTTTTTTTTTAAATAGGTAAGTGGGGGGTTTTTTTTAAAAAAAACCCCTTTTTTTTTTTTTTAGGGGGGGGGGATTTTTTTTTATTTTTTTTTTCCTCCCCTTGGGGGGTTTTCCCCTCCCTTTTTTTTTTTTTTTTTTAAATTTTTTTTTGCCCCTTTTCCTCCCTTTTTTGATAGGGAAAAGCTGAAGATCGACACAAAGCCCATATGATATCAATCTTGTTTAAAGAAAAAAAAACATGTTTAATTTGCGATCTCATGGAGAAGTACTACAGTACCCACAGTGCAACAGTGACGTTTCTGATTGGTGGAGCTAGCTGTTACTAGGAATGTCACGAGAACCGATACTTCGGTACCCAGTCGATACCAAAATGAACGGTACTCGTAGGTACTGAAGAAGCAATTCTTCGGGACCTGGCGGCGCGGCATATACCTGCACAAATATTCTACTCTGCCGTTGGCACAGGAAGAAGAAGAACATGTAGAAGATGGTGCAGCTGTACGGTGATTTACTCAACTCTCCCCTCCATGTGTCTTTGTCGCTGCGTCTGAAACACGGATGGGGTGTAATATTTACATGAACAAATGAAACAAAAGTTCGGGACGATTACAAAGGTTGAATGTGTGTGCCGTAACAAGGGGGCTTTTGTGTTGTGTGGTTGTATGTCATGACAGAAATGTTTCTATGGTAATTACATGAAACCTCACACATGCTGACAGCTCAGCAGTGTGTGTTTGTGTGTTTAGGACAGGGAATTCTCACCTGTTGTTAGCACCTGCCAGAATAAAAGACCATTCCCTGACGTACATCTGTCAGTGTACAGACAGGCGGTTTCTAGTTTGACTGCTGTCATCAGTGCTGTGAGTTGAAGAATGCTATTTATAAATAGAGGTCCAGTGTGTAACATTTAGGATGATCTATTGTCAGTAATGGAATATAATATCCATAGATATGTTTTCATTAGTGTATAATCTGAATATAAGAATCATTGTGTTTTTGTTAGAATGAGCTGTTTATATCTACAGAGTGGGTCCTCTTCTACAGAGTCCACCATGTTGGACTGCCGTGTTTATACAGTAGCCCAGAACAGACAAACCACACTCTGGCTCTAGATAAGGCTTTTTGTGTTTGTTTGTGAGTCTTGCGGCCACCGTAGTTATTCCTACACACTTGGAAAGGCTGAGTGGTATTCAGTTGGTTGCAATCTGTGACTTCACCACTAGATGCCACTGAATCCTACGCACTAGTCCTTTAAGCAACAATTTGGTTTTCTTTTTGTCAGTCCAAATCAAAAACCTGGACGGAGTAGAACCTCAGACACGAGAGTGTCTATATTGGAAAAATATTGAATTAATTGGCTAGAGAGGGGCATTCTCATTTCTCGCTCATTTCGCAGCCACCGTAGTTTGTCCTTCACACTTGAAAGGGAATGGTGATGCGACGGAGTTGGGATCTGCAATTACACTACTAGATACCACTAAGTCCTACACCCTGGACCTTTAAGGAAATAATGTTATAAAGGTCAATCACTGATGATATTCTATGTTTTTATTCTTATGAACAAATCCCACATGCCCAAACCAACACTGAATGAATCTATTAACAAGTATTGTGTATCAGTCTGTTCAATCTCTTCCTCTATGTCACCATCATCAATTACTCGAGAAGACCTCAGAAACGTAATGAAATAAACCTAAGAAAGTTTGGTCCCTGTGTTTGATTACCGATCCATTGGCACAGTTTGTGGTGTGCTTTGCTGTAGGGCACTTAGGCAGTGATATGTGGGAGGATTTGAACCTGCGACCTTGCTGTAATAACCCATCTGCTGCTGACCTTTCAGCTATCAGACACACTTAACTCGTGACCTTTCTGTTTCGGCTTTATCACCACGAAGATAATGAGACGTTTCCTGGCGTCGCCCCTGATTGGGTCCAAGGGAGGCCCTGGGTGTAACGGGACAAGGGGGGAGAAGGGGAGAGGGTGAGGGAGGGAGGGGGGTCTAGAAGAATCTGCTGGGTCTATATTAGCCCCGGTGAATCATGGCAAGCCTGGCATACCGGGTGTCCCCTTTCACACCATATAAGTCCACCCCCCCTCCTTTTCCCTACACCCCTCCGCCCTGCCTCACCCTGCCTCACCCCGCCTCACCCCCCACAATGCAACAGTGCTATCTCTGGCTATTCTGAGGCTGTCACTTCAGCTCCTCTGAGCAGGCAAGTCCTCTTCTTTCTCCTCAGCTGTTTCTTCTTTCCGCTCTTTCTCTCAGAGTTTCGGTTTGTGCATTCGACACATTTTTCAATTCCATGTCCGGTCTGTTTCCTCCTCCCTCACCTGTTTGATATCCTTCTCTCTATCTCCTTTCAGAGGCTACTCGGCACCGGCCCTACCTCCTATCCCTCCAGCAGCTGTGGGGTTTTTAAAAAATTTGGTTTAATCGCCGCTGTCCATTTCGGAGGATCTTGTAGTTTTCTGGAAGAATGAGCGCCTACACTGTGTCACTGCCCGGCCCCGGCCCCTGGGGCTTCAGGCTGCAGGGCGGGAAGGACTTCAACATGCCGCTGACCATATCCAGGGTAAGAAACTGCCACACTTCCAAGCTGAGTTGAGACCGTTTGTCTCTGTGTTTGGTCTCAGTTGAGGGACATGTGTCTCGTTTCTGAAACTTAGCCAATACTAAATGTTGCTGGTGAGCCTACTGTTATATTTACCAATCTACGATCAATTCTGTTCACATTAATTTCATACTTTTGGTGGTGATTTTGCAAGGCATACTATAATGTTTTAAGCCTTGTAGATGTTGATGTTTTTATCAAGTCATGTCTGTCCTGAAAGTCTTATTTTCTTAAAAACAAGTGACAAAAATCTGCTGCTGAAGTAAGAATACCTCAACCTGTTTCTATCAAAAAGCTCATTTCAAAAATATTCTAGACAACAAGGCAGGGCGTCCTGGTGGCCAAAGGGTTTAAGTAGCTCATCATGTAATCTTTTGCTGGGGGGGCCTTTGTTGTATGTCCTCATTTCCTGTCATCTCTGATATCCGCAGGGTATTAAAGCTGCAGTATTTCTATGAAAATAACTTTTTGTCATATATCCTGAAACATTCACTATATGCCAGTAGAAGAGATAATGTGAGAAAAAATCAGGCTCCTCCTAGTGCTCCTAATCCACCAGGCCTGAATGAAAACAACCAATCAGAGCTGAGAAAGATAGAAAGATGTTTTGTGCTGGTGGCTTGAAGGTAGCTGATTGTTGAGTCTCATTCCCAGCGTCTGTGTTTGACGCCCTGGGACTATCTTTCTTGACTCTGATTGGTTGTTTTCATTCAGGCCCGGTGGATTCCTGCAAATTCAGTCTCCATTTTAAATGTTTTAGATTTGGATTTGTTTGTATTAATGCTATAACAACAAAACCTAACCAACATGGAACCAATACTGATTTTCCTTCATATCCTTAATACTTTTTTCCACCAATACAGATGTAAAATAGCTCTTAATAATAATTTGATAAGAATGAGATTTGTGCATTGATGACAGCCGTTCTCTTCCATCTCTTTTCTCTATTATCGTAGCATTTGAATGAAATCCCAAGTTGATTTTTCATATAACAATACCTATAGAAATATAAAAAAAACATGGTATACTTTGGAGAACAGTGGTATAGTCCTTTAAATCTGGATGTTTCCTGTCATGTGCTGTTAGGTGTGGATGGTTTTGATAATAAACTGATCTGTGGGTGATTCAGAAACACATTTGCAGCCTGTCAGGGCGAGATCCCCGGCGGGCCCGGTGGCCCCCGCAGGACGTGACGGCTGCCAGGATTTGTCAGGGAGGCCAAAAGCAGAGCCAGAGGCCTAAAACTGGAGCTGGTTTTTGTTTCACAGCCTCGTCTCTCTGAATAGAGCATAGACACACTCATCGAGCTCTCGTCTCTGCTTCACTCTGCATTTTTTTATCGTCTTTCTGGGCTCGCTGGAGAATTTGCCGCATCTGTTGTCAGGATGCTGTGATCCGTGACCATTGACCTTCTCTGTGTTGGCTGCTTGTTGGTGATTTAGACACTGAGGCAGGAGGAATTTATTTTCTGTTTGCTTTTCCATGACATTCCAAATCTCCTTGCTGTAAGGATTTGGAGTGACGATAAGTAACGTGCAGGAGGTGGAAATTTAATATTGATTGGGAAGAAGATCTGCACCTCTTTAAGTGTGTTGAAGAAGTTTAAATGGATGTTTAATGAACTGACTGTGGTGGACTGACAAGGTGTGATCGGATGATGTGATGCAAAAGTTTTGCTCTGAGATTTTTACAGTATACATTTCACTTAAAAAAATGTATGTGTTCAATGTACAAGTGTGATGTGCCCATCACAATTCCTTAGAGCCCAACATGGCGTCTTCAAATTGCTTGTTTAATCCAGCAGTTTACAGGGATGTAAAACAGAGGAGCAGCAAATCATCACATTTACTGAAACAGTTAATTGATTATTAAAATTGTTGATTTGTTTCAGCTCTATATAAAACAGTAAAGTTAGAATATGTATGATAAACCTCTCATTCCCAGACCAAAAAGATGTGTTGTGACTATGTTCATTTATCTGCCTTTCAGCATCTCTTATCAACTTTGAATATGGAAAAATACATTCTATATCGGCCGATACCAATGTACGGCCAATAGATGGGTGCATCCCTATATAATATTCAACATCTTTAGACACATTAAAAGTTATATGTACAAAATTCACTGCCACTAGATGTCGCACTAGAGCACCAGCATCTCAGACCACAGTGCTGGGCGCTACGGCCAAACAGACTGGACAGAAACAAAATAAAACTCACCACAACTGTCTCTATTAGTCTTTCCAACAATAACCAACTCTGGTTTGGTTAAAATAAGATGAGAATTATATGAGATTGTAGCCAAGAAACAGGCTCCTATAGCTGCCATGTAACATTAGCTAATCCCTGAGGACAAATGCGCCCGTCAATGTGCGTCCACTAAAAGTGCTTGTCTTTGACACTGACAGGCTCAGATTGTTATTCTCAGTGTTATTCTCAACAACATTATGGAAAGTATTCCTACAGAGATAGACCTTTTTGTTTAAGCAGAAACTGCCGTAATATCACTATCACTCACCACCAGACTCCATAGACTGTTCCACTGTTCTAACAATCACCATCTCTGGTTTGGTTGAAATAAATCCTTAATTCAGATGTAGATGATAAAAACAGCAGTTACAGTCACTCAACTCAGCTGCACACGGAGCAGACCGGCTATGGAAACAAACCACAGAGAGGCTGTGATAGCAACACAGGCAGAGGGAGTGTGACGTCATTCTCTGCTCAGGACATTGGTGAAAATGACTCTTACAACATCTACATAAGCATCATAGTAGGGCTGCCCGATACGGTAAAAAAATCATATTGTGATCCCTTTGACAGATATTGCGCTTGCAATATGTTTCACAATCAGAATTTTCATTTTTACAGGAAAGAAATCCTGTTAAAAGTAAGAGAGTCAACACCTAAGCATCATAACCAATAACTGACATAGGCATTTTACACATATTGCTTGGGTTGCCATAGCAACACACAAATTTGAATAACTAATATTTTCTGACACAGCTTTTTTATTTACATGTAGTTCTCTGCAGTAAGTGTCTGCTGGCTCACAGGTTGAATTCTCCCAGTGACATCCAGTTCACCAGCCCACTCAAAGTGTCTTTAAGCAAGGCTTTCATCCCTTTTTGAGCTGGCTGTGACTCTGACCGCAGAAAATGAAGAGTGTTAAAGGCTGGTCTCTGTGTGACAGAAGCTTGAGTATTGTTGCCACATTGAGCAGAAAACTCAAATATTCAGCTCTGACTGGACAGTTATTTTAAGTAGTTCATTTCCCAAGTTAAGTATTTCCATGCATCAGTTCTCTAACTCAGATCCTGGGAACTCATTTAAAGATTACGCACAGAGAAATGGGAAAGATCAGCCTCAGCTCATTTTACTTGCTCAGTAACATGCCAGTAAACGTATCAAAAGAACTAACAGTAAAGTCACAATATTAAATCATTGATGTCTAAAAAGACTGTTTATCAGAGTTTCTTCCCCCTGTGACAGAGCAGCTGTTGATTAGTTTTAGATTCACTGGCCTGGCTCAGCTCCATCAGCTGAATGAAGACTGTGAAATGCAGTTGAATGCTCCTACAGCTATTAAAGGTCCAGTGTGTAACATTCAGTGGGATCTATTGTCAGAAATGGAATATAATATTCATAGGTATGTTTTCATAAGTGTATAATCACCTGAAAATAAGAAACTTTATGATACTTAGTATGAGTCTTTTATATCTACCGACTCCGCAGGTTACCTTCTGTGTTGTGTGTATGTTTCTACAGTTTCTACAGTTTATAGTAGCAGGCTCTAGATAGGGGCATTCGTGTTTTGCAGCAACTATAGTTTTGCACTTGGAAGGGGAGTGTGGAGTGAGGGAGCTGTGATCTGCAATTACACCTCTAGATACCAGATGTCTGAAAGGATCTTCCATGTTCAGAAGTCATGTTCAAATTTTATTCTACCTAACTAGTAATACAACAGTGTAGAAATAATCTGTTGCAAGTAAAAGTCCTGCGTTCAAAATTTACTTGAAAAAAGTACAAAAGTATTAGCATCAAATATAAAAAAAGTCTAATTTCCACATTAAAATGCTTAAAAAGTCATCTCCTCCTTCTACCTCATTAAACATTCCAGAGTCTCTGAATATGCAAATGTTGTTGATTTCTAAAGTTTTCCTGCTGGAAACAAGATGTCTCCTCCTTCACTGTAAAGTCCATTCTCAGTGGATGTGCACTGGTGGTTTCAAGTTTCTACATAACACTGTACAAGTTGTACACTGGACCAGGACTGACTTCCTAACTATTTGTGATGTCACAAATTATGCTGGTAGACCCCGCCCCTTAAAATCAGATGTTCAATGAGCTCAGAGAAACTTTCCACTTTCAGCAGATGAATGTGAAAACATGAACAAGAATAAACACTGATTTCTGACTGGAAGGGAGTTTAAAAAGTAAATAAGCACTCATTATGCAAACTTATAAATATTCTGCATTCATTCTTTAATGTTTCAGCCGGTAAAAGTGGAACTCATTTATACTTAATATACCGCAGGGTGGCTTGTGAAATCCGGATCAATAAAATCTATCTATAATAATACATATTCATTTTTGATAATTATTATTTAATAATAATGATCAGCAAAGTCACATAAGCTTAGAAATATAAAGTAGCATTAAATGGAAATATTCGAGGAAAGTAAAAGTATCTTAAAACTTCACTTAAGTACATTACTTGAATAAATGTTACTTTCCAACACTGCCTTCTACTAATCTACTAGTGTAACTACTACACTTACTGTAACTGCAGCTAGTACTATGACAGACACAAAAGACAAGTACAGTATTGATACAGTATTGAACAGGTCAATCAGAGTGTATCAAAATGACAGCAGTGAAGGGACTTTTGGCTGAATGTTACGCTGAACTGACATCCAGCAGCTGTTCACACACACACACACACACACACACACACACACA